CAGGTTCCTAACTTGTAGATTCAATCAACAGCAGGTAGAAAATACTTGGAAAAGGGCAGAATCTGCAGCAAATATGTAGACTTTTCAGGTTATTATACTTGAAATAATACAGTTTATTTATCTAACATATCAAATTCGTTTGCTGGGTTTTTTTCTGTATTTTAGGGAAGGGTCTATAGGGTGTTCAGGGTCTCACTACTAGATGGGACTCATAGTGGTCTGCCTGTTTACAGCCTCCCAAGAGCTGGGATTACAGGCGCATACCAGCATGCCCAGGCTCAACTTCCACCTCAGCGTGCCCTGGGGCGGGGCTGGCATGGCAGTCCTGGGGATCCAATCCCCACCCCCACGCCTACTTGCAGTTTTAATCCACTGAGCCTTTTGGCCAGCCCTTATATCCTATTAGCTATTTTATATAACCTAGAGATATTTTAAAATGTCTGAGATGTTAGATGTGACAGAATGATGTTTTATGCAAGACAGTAGAATGTACAGGGATCTCCATACCCAGGGGGCGGGCAGGGTCTCAAAACCAAAGCTCTGTGGCTTCTGAGGGGAGAGTCTCACCACCACATAACTCCTAGCATAGCAGTACCTTTGCGAACAGATAAAACCTCCCCAAAGCCTGCAGAGTGCGACCCTGCCCAGGCAGCAGCCCACCTGGGCTATCTAGGCAGGAAACTGAGGTGTCCTGACTGGAGGAGCGGCTATGATGGAGAGAAGAGGTGCTGGATGGCAGTGGGGACAGCTCTGGAAAGCGGGAGAGCATGCGTGAGTTTAGGACAATATTTCCTACAGTTAAACATTTCAAAATGCAAATGGAAGCACCATCTTAATGAGAAACCCTCATGTGCTGCCCTGTACAAAGAGCTGACTGGCATCTGTGTACCGGGCCCAATCCTGACAAAGCACCCGGGGACCCACTGGGAAGCCTGTGGCAGGCCAGCACAGGGACACAAGAACCCTGGCTGGCTGTAGGCTCCAGGACCCGCTCCAGGCACCCAGATCTGCAGATGTCAGAGAGGCTTGGGACAGCTTCATACTTGGCACAAAGCCTCTGCAGATGCGGACAGCCTGCCATCGGTGGCTACCTGGTACCTCGTCCCCCATGTACACGCCACAGGGTGGCTCCCCTGCACTTTCGGAGTGAAGACAAGGGAAAGGGCTGCTTGTACGCAGTCAGTAAAGATGCGGCCCTTTTCTCTCAATGTTTGCTATCCAGGTGGCTGACTGTTAGATGTGGAGACTGTGGCCACGGGGCACAATTGGACAGCAGTTTGGTTACGCTGGGGGCGCTAGACTCCTGGCACCTGTGGCTCCACTGATGGGTAAGAGGACACCGTGGGGTGTACCCGGGGAGCCCGAAGTCACACTGAGCTGTGGGGACCCATGGGATTCAGAAGTCAGTTTGTGGCTGCTCTTGCTCCTAAGGAGCCAAAGGGTGGCCTGGAAAAGCCCAACACTCGTGGTTTGCACTTTACTCTGTGTCCTTAAAATCAAATCCAGGGGCTGGTGAGATGGCTCAGTGGTCTAAAGCACCTACTTAGAACAAGCTAAGCTAAGCAAAACACAGGGACCGCGGTTCAATCCCCCAGCACCACATGCCAGACAGCCTCGCCCCCTGGTGGGCTGAGCTGGCCACACACACAAAATGAATGAATGAATAAATAAATAAATAATTAAAAAAAAAAAATCAAATCCATAGAAGACTCTTCTGTTTCCCCGGGAGCCACTGCCTGAGCGGCTGGTGCTGGCCCACGAGAAGCAATGTTTGTCTTCCAGCCTCGTGACTTCCCGGACTAATCTGATCCCTGAGAGCTACCTTCCCGTCCCCCTAAATCTCTGGGCTTGCCTGTGCGGCAGAGCCCTTTCACGGGTTGTGCCCAACGTGCCTCTAGCTGGGTGCCTAGTTTTCCAAGGAGGCCAGCTGCCCCGTGTGCCACCAGTTTCCAAAAACAGAATTTTGAACAGCAATCCAAGGGCCTGACAGCAAAAGGTGCTGCTTGGATTCAAGGACCGTCTCTGCCCCTTTGCCTGCCAGGCCCTGAAGGGCAGTGCAGACAACACAGGAAGAAGGTAGGAACTTCACAACAAACCTCCAACCATCAGCCTGCCCCCTCGGTGGTTACCCTTCTCTACTAGGCTCTCCACCAAGTGCCGTTCTTACTCCACATTTCTGCCATATGTATCACCATATTTCTGGTGAGGTATTTTCCAGAGGGCTCTTCGGTTCTGTCTTTTTCGGACAGGGTCTTGCTCTGTAGTAGAGGCTGACCTTGGGTTCACTGCAAAGCCCAGGCTGCGCAAACTCACGGCGATCTTCCTGCCCCAGCCTCCCGACTGCTGGCATGACCGTGTGTGCCACCCTAGCCAGCTTGATCAAGGCATCTTTTTTTTTTCTTTGCAGAACCGGGGATTGAACTCAGGCCCTTGCGCTTGCCAGGGAAGCGCTTATTCCACTGAGCCAGCTCCCTGGCCTGATCAAGGCATCTTTGAGACCACTGCACTCTATGTGCCAAGGAACGCAGCCATGCAGCGGGGAACCGAGGCCACCCCCAGGGCGTGCCCGCTTACTTGGCAGTCCGGACTTCAATGGTGCCCTTGAGCTTCTCCTCGCTGTCGTTCTCGAAGTACATCAGCTTGGCCTGGCGCAGCACGAACCAGCGCCTCTTCCAGTTCCTCCGAGACAGTGTGGACGAGCCGCCACCTTTCTTGTGCAGCCAGCCCTGCTTGAGGGCCTCCTGCTTGGAGCGGAACCACAGGAAGGTCTCGTCCTTGAGCACGCACCAGCGGCGCTTCCAGGAGTTCATGAGGCCCCCTGCATCCGAGAGGGGTACAGGAAGGTCGGGAAATGTTAGGCAGACGCATGTCTTTGGTCACTGTCTCACCAAGTTCAGGCTGGCCTGGAACTTGAGAGACTCCCCTGCCTCGGCCTCCTGTGTGCTGGAATGGCAGGAGTTCCCCTGGCTAGGAACCAAGCTGGATGACAATGACATCTATATCAAGTCCTCAGTTCTAGCCAACCCTTAACCTTGTCCAGGCTGAAAAACACCTTGAGACCTTCTGGTGCAGGGTGGAGCTGTACACTACGCAGGACACACCAGACATAGGCGGCAGTGTCACAAGGGACCACGGACCTTCCCTCGTCCCAAACACAGCTCCTGTGTGCTTAGCTGGCACATCTGGGTAAGGGGCTCACAGAGAAGCAGGCAGCAAACTGAAACCTGACCCTCGAGACTCAGAGCTATTTCCAACTTGCTAAGTCGCCCAGGCTTGGCTTGAACTTGTGATCCTCTTGCCTCCCAGAGTGCTGGGCTTAGAGATGTCCCTGTGCCTGGCTCAGATTATCTTTAGTAGGATAAAAAAATTCCCAGCCCCTTCTAGTAGGGTAAATTTACTTGCGTTTCCTAGATTCTCCAAAGACGCGTGAATGATATAATGCCCCATCATTCAAAAACGTGTTTCAACTAGTGCACGGAAGGACACAATGTGCTTGTGCCCACACCATCTTTTGACCAACTAGTAATAAAGCAAGGGATATTTAAATGTGGACATTTCAAGTAGGCATACGTTTTCCTTTCATAGATTGTAAATAATTTTTTAGAAAATTTAATTTTATTTTATGTGTTTAGCACAGGGTCTAGAGGGTCTCAGTACACAGACTGAACTTGTGATTCTCCTGTTTTCAGCCCCCCAAAGAGCTGGCATTACAGGCGTGCACCAACATGCCCAGTCTCAATCGCTGTCCCAGCAAGCCCCCAGAGGGGCAGGGCCGGCACAGCAAGCTGGCCCCTTTGCTCCGCCTAAGCAAGCGCTTAGTCCACTGAGCTATCTGGATGGCCCTTGCAAAACAAATTTAACAGACCCCTCTCCTTTTTCTGGACCCAGGGTCCACTTTGTAGGTCTAGCTGGCTTTGAACTCACCATCTAGCCTAGGTGCCTCCTGTCTCGGCCTCCTGAGCCGGGGCTTTTTGTCAATGACTGGCTGTGATCACAGCTCTAAGCCTCCTGCTGGAACAGACACAGCGATGACAGCCCTGGCTGGCATTCAGTGCATATGGGGACATTTCCCCATGTTTGCCGCCCGAGGGAGACACCCTTCCCCCTTACATGCAAATCTGCTTCAGGCCAGCAGGCGGGAGGCTCGGAGCCTTTTCCTATTGGGTAGCAATCTTGCCAAGGGGATGAGCCCACATGGTTCTATTACCAACTGTTTTGGCTGCAGACTTTAACCTGAGTTTCTTAAATCAAACTGAATGGACAAGCATGGTCCCGTTATCTCCTCATCCCTCACTTCCATAGCAACACGCATGGGGCGGGGGCTGGCTTTACGCAACACTGTGCCCTCCCTGGGGCCTTCAGGGACACTGTGCCACCAGAGCCTGTCAATCTCCATGTTCACCCTCATGGCAGGAGGTACCTGGCGAGAAGCCCACCTTCACTGGGGACTGCCTTTTCTTCTTTTGTAGGGTTTTCTGGAAGGCTGGGTGCTATTTTATTAAACATTTTTCAAGGGCTGGTCAAATAGCGCAGTGGATTAAAGCGCCTATAAGCAGGCACAGGGGCCAGGGGTTTGATCACCAGGCCTGCCGTGCCAGCCCTGCCCCAGGGGCACGCTGAGACGTCCACTGAGACTGGGTGTAAATACGAGGATCACTACGAGTCTGATCTAGTAGTGAGACCCTGAACAGCCTGTAGACCCTTCCCTAAAATAAAAAAAATTAAATGATAAATTAATAATAAGAAGAAAAGATTAAATGATGCTGCACTTATCTCTGATTAAGAAATGTCCCAGCTAGGCACGGCGGCGCACACCTGTGATCCCAACACTCAGGGTTGTTGCCATAAGTTCAAGGCCAGCTGGGACCGCACAGTGACACCTTGTCTCAAAAAACCAAACAAAACCAAACCCCAAATATCCCAAACTGCATATCCTCATAAACTAATTCTAATCCCTTGCACTGACAGTTCTCCTATCTACAACCCGTAACAAGTCAATGGCCCATATTACAGATAATGTAGGGGATTTTAAAGCAAACCCAGAAAACTAAGCAGGGAAGGGAAGTATTTTATGACAAGTCTGTGTTTCTGTGAGACTTGTGTGACAAAAACATCTAGACGCACTGCCTGGTGCTTATGCAACCCGAGCCAGCATCTTTTCCTCTGCCAGGCTGTGCTAGGCTACGGGCGCCCAGGTCGTTCTCACACCGGTGCCCACACAAACTCTACCCCAAGCAGTGAGCTCAGGGTGTGGAAGTCTCCTCTGGAGCAAAAAGCAAGTAGAAAGAAAAACTAAGTGAAGCTGGGAGTACCCACTCCCATCCCTGCACTCGGGAGGCTGAGGCAGGAAGACTGCCATGAGTTAAGAGGTCAGGCTCCCTGGAGAAGAACCTGAACCAAGCTCTTCTGGACCTTCATGCCTTGGGCTCTGCCAAGACCGACCCCCGTATCTGTGATCTCCTGGAGAACCACTTCCTAGATGAGGAGGTGAAGTGCATCAAGAAGACAGCTGACCACCTCACCACCCTCCGCAGGCTGGCAGGCCCCCAGGCTGGGCTGGGCGAGTGCCTCTTTGAAAGGCTCACCCTGAAGCACGACTAGGAGGTCAGAGCCTGGCGGTCTCTGAGGGGCTCCTGCCTCACCCGGCGTCAGGGCTTTGCCTAACCCTCTCCCTCCAGCCACTAGGCAGCTTTCTCACCTTTCTGGAGCTCCCTCCCAAATCTTGGACCTTTTGCAGCAAAAA